GCAATAGTGCCTGGTTATACACATCCCAATCGATGTCGAAGGGCGAGGCATTAGAATTAACAGAGCCCTCCGTTTCGACATTCCGATTAGCACTAGTTTTGACATCGAGTATTTCAACAGATGCAGAACCTGAGTATCCGTCAATTTCAAGGGCAAGAGAGTCGGAAATAGGGTCGGAAACATGGGGAGAGTCAGGATCTAACAAAAAAAAGAGGAGAGAAAGGGGAGAGGAAAAAGGGGAATAGCAATTAATAAGACGGAGAAGATTACAACTACGAGTCGACTTCCAAGAATAAAGAAAGGATCGAAAAAAGCTCGTAGGACATCTCGGAGTCATTCAAGTTGACGAAAGAAGTCCTAATCGAAGGTAATAAAAACAAAAAAAAAAAAAACAAAAAAAAAACACTTTGGAAAAAAGAAAAGTCCACTATTGAGGATCTAATGAAGAAAATCGCCGAAAAATCGTTTAAAAATCACGAAAAATTCGATAAGTCTATGAATCTCAAGCATATTGCATAAGGAACAGGAAATCACAACAATAAATAGAAAAGTAAAGGAAGCTTACACATGGTGATTATCGGAGAAGTCCTGAAAAATCCGAAGAACGTCGGAAAAGGAAACGAACGCCAGAGAACTTGCGTTTTATTTGCCGGAGAGAGCAAGAGTTAGGAAGATCCGAGTGCAAAAATTGTGAAATGAAAGAGGAAAGGGGTATTTATAGAGAAGAGAGTAAGCCCTGACCCTAAGATTAAAAGTAGATCCAACGGTGTAGATAAGGCGCGGAATGCGAAGCGGTGGGGAAAGAGAAACGTCTTGTCAGAGCCAAAAACCCTTTTTGAATTTTGAAATTCAAAAGGAGGCCCAGATTTATCCAGTCGTAGCTAGAATTTCTAGAAGAAAACCGCTCGCAAGTCGACAGGATAAGGAAGACGACTGGGGGACAGGGATATGGCTAAGAAACTTATGAGGACTCGATGTTAGACGGGAATGAAAGGTAGGGCGCAGAGCGCAAAAACTTGTCAACTACCTACTCGATAGATTTACTCTTAAGCTCAGAATCGCTTCGAGTAATTTTGGGGGGGACTAGATGATATAGCCACACTGTCGTATAACGGTTCATGACATCACAGTTCAATGATTACCGAGTTGACTTACGCAAAGTCGACTCTGTCCACAGACCCTTTGAGATATCTTCGGTCAAGGGTCCTGGCATTTCTCTCAGTCAACTTCAATATGTCGACTAGAATAAGTTGATTCCCTCCGGGAAGATGGTCAAGCGCGTCAGAGTCTACTGACGATTGAAGATGACCCAGTCGACTCGAGTTGATATACCCAGTCGACTGAGGAAGTCTCGAGGCTCATAGATCTCGACGACTCCAGTACACTTCAACATATCATAGGAAAGTTGTTAAGGATAAGAAAGAATCCATATGTTGACTAGGAGATGGACGGAATGCGAACCGACCAGGGTATTCTGGACATTTCTAGTAAGTCGGCCAGGGCATTTTAGGGACTTCAGGTAAATGTCTTATTTCTATATAAAGGAGCTGAGGTAACCCTAAAACCCTAACTCCCATTCATTCCACACTCTCCTCCACTGCTGTTGCTGCTCTCTCAGAGCAGTTTCTCTCCATCTCTATCACATATTGACTTGAGCGTCGGAGGCTCTACGCCGGAAACCCCTCCGGCGTTGAGTTCTTGCAGGTTTTCTTGAGGTCCAGTAGCAGTTTGAAGGTGACAACGACAGATCTGAGCCCATTCCCGTCGGTTCGTTCTAGATCTGAGTCCATTTTTATCGGTTCGCTCCAGATCTGAGAAGAGACCCATCAGTGTGTAAACTTAAGAAGTCAATATATGAACTTAAATAAGCTTCCAGACAATGGTATCTTAAGTTTAACTATACGATTATGTCTTTTGTTTTTTCAAGAAAACCTTGTTGATCGGTGTATTTACCAGAAGATCAGTGGGATTAAGTTTATATTTTTGGTTCCATATATCAATGATATCCTTTAAGGGGCAAAGCATCATATGCTCACGTTTAGGAAGTGTGATCGCCTTGAGGTGATTGGATATTTAAATTCATAATTATTTTGGGTGCATTGACAGTCGCAAGTAAACGTTTGACTATGTGATTCTCTTTGTCAAAGGAGCAATTTCATGGAAAAGTGTCAAACAATCTGTCATTGCTGCATCTATTACGGAGGTTGAATTTGTAGCTTACTATGAGACTACAAATCACGCATTATGGCTGCGGAACTCTATTTTGGGGCTTGGGTTGTCGACACCATTACCAAGCCGCTGAAAATGTATTGTGATAATTCCACAACTGTTTTCTTCTCCAAGAACGACATATATTCCAAAACACATGGAATGAAAGTCTTTTGTCGTTACAGAGGAAGTTCAGAGACAAAGAGTGTGCATTATAGAACGGACCTTATGATTGTCAATTTGTTAGCTAAAGGTCTACAACCAAAGACATTTAAAGAATATGTACATATAATGGGTCTTGGTTGTACTGATTATTGATATGATGATGTTATGGCACACTCTTGAGCTCATTGATGTTATGTTTCTGACTATTATCGAATTTCTTGTTCATTATGATTTTGTATACATTATATGTAGTACAAAAAATGAATGTCTTCGTGACAATTAAGTGGACATTATGATATTTATATATAATTATGGAACTTAATGTGTTGAACTATTAGTGTAGTAGTATATGGAAGGAAGTATGTGAATTGAGAGTGTACAACCGCCATAACTCTCACTATATGGTTTATCATGTCATAGTTTATTATGATGTATGTCATAATGAGATTTGTTTATGCGGACCTAATGTTATACTATTGAATTATGAGCTTTCGGACCAAGTGGAAGAATGTAAGAATATGTTGACGAAAGCAGTGGGCTCACATGTAATTATCATATTGGGTCAGACCTTTATTTAATAGTCAAACAAATCTATGACATTAATTTGGATATTTGATGGACGTACCAGATCTAAAGACACCACTATATAAATTAGTCATCTCTCCTCCTATTAGGGTACGCAATATTTTCCCATCAATCTTCTGCTACGTGAAGAGAGGGTCAGAAGGGAGAAACTAATTTAGATCTAACAATTGATTAAGCCTCGTGTGATCATCAAGATCAAGATCAGGGGCGGAGCTACAACCTGTAGTACCTGGTATGTAGCCCAGGTATAAATATCCATATTCCATGTATTTTATATACATATTTTTATC